CGCCCGTCTTGGCCTCCCAAAGTGCTGGGATTACAGGCATGAGCCACCGTGCCTGGCCAAATTTTTGTATTTTTAGTAGAGACAGTTCACCATATTGGCCAGGCTGGTCTCAAACTCCTGATCTCAAGTGATCCACCCGTGTTGGCCTCCCAGTGGTTTTTTTTGTTTGTTTTCAAAGACAATGGGGTCTTCCTATGTTGTCCAGACTGGTGTGGAATGCCTGGAAGCAATCCTCCCACTTGGACCTCCCGAAGTGCTGAGATTACAAATGTGAGCCAGGTCAGCCGCCTGCTGTCTCATTTTAACGTCTCTCTGGGCCTTGTATTTTAAAAGGACTCACATTCCTCAGATAAAAATTTCTTTTCTTGGCCAGGTGCGGTGACTCACGCCTGTAATCCCAGCTGTTTGGGAGGCTGAGGCAGGTGGATCACCTGAGGTCAGTTCAAGACCAGCCTGGCCAACATGGTGAAACCCCATCTCTACTAAAAAAAAATACAAAAAATTAAACGGGCGTGGTGGTGGGCACCTGTAATCCCAGCTACTCGGCAGGCTGAGACAGACCCAGGTTCCAGCCTGGGCAACAACAGCGAAACTCCATCTCAAAAAAAAAAAAATTATTTTCTCAAACTCGAATTAATGTCCACACTGAAGTGTTTAAGGGTGAAGGGCACTGGTGTCTGCAACTCACTTTAAATGCATTTAAAAAGTAAGATAGTTGATGAGTGGATAGATGGATAAATATATCTAGGTGGTAAGTATATGGGAGTTCACCATTCAGCTCTTTCAACTTTTCTGTATGTTTACACATTTTCATAATAAATTTTGGTGAAAATAATATTGTCATCCGTGTCCGTGTGAAGAGACCACCAAACAGGCTTTGTGTGAGCAATAAAGCTTTTTAATCACCTGGGTGCAGGCGGGCTGGGCCCGAAAAGAGAGTCAGGGAGGGGAGATGAGGGTGGGGCCGTTTTATAGGATTTGGGTAGGTAAAGGAAAATTACAGTCAAAGGGGGGTTGTTCTGTGGCGGGCAAGAGTGGGAGTCACAAGGTGCTCAGTGGGGGAGGTTTCTGAGCCAGGATGAGCCAGGCACAAGATAATGTCATCGCTCAAGGCAGGGACCGGCCATTTTCACTTCTTTGGTGGTGGAATGTCATCAGTTAAGGCGGGGCAGGGCATTTTCACTTCTTCTGTGATTCTTCAGTTACTTCAGGCCATCTAGGCGTATACGTGCAAGTCACAGGGGATGCGATGGTTGGCTTGGGCTCAGAGGCCTGACAGATATAACTGTAATAGTCTATTGTCAGATGTGCACAGCAAGTCAATACACCAAGACACAGGGCTGCAGCAGAGAGAGGCTGAATGGTAGGGCCAACGAGGTGCAGTGGCTCATGCCTGTAATCCCAGCACGTTTGGGAGGCCAAGGGAGGAGGATCACTTAAGGCCAGGAGTTCAAGATCAGGCTGGACAACACAGTGTAGCAGGACGAGCAGCAGACAGAACTCCTCAGACACCGAGTTGCAGAAGGATGGGGTTTATTCGGCCGGGGGCATCGGCAAGATTTCTGTTTCAAGAGCCGAGCCCCCCCACCAAGTGAGCAATTCCTGTCCCTTTTAAGGGCTCACAACTCTAAGCGGGTACACGTGAGAGGGTCGTGACTGATTGAGCAAGCAGGGGGTACGTGACTGGGGGCTGCAGGCACCGGTAATTAGATCGGGACAAAACAAGATAGGGATTTTCACAGTGCATTTCTAAACAATGTCTGTAATCTATAGATAACAGAACCAATTAGGTCAGGGGTGGATCTTTAACTACCAGGCCCAGGGTGCGGCGCCGGGCTGTCTGCCTGTGGATTTCATTTCTGCCTTTTAGTTTTTACTTCTTCTTTCTTTGGAGGCAGAAATTGGGCATAAGACAATATGAGGGGTGGTCTCCTCCCTTAATAGGAGAACTCATTTCTACAAAAAATAAAAAAACAATTAGCTGGGCATAGTGTTGTGTACCTTTATTCCCAGCTACTGGGGAGGCTGAGGTGGGAGGATCGCTTGAACCCTGAAATTTGAGGCTGCAATGAGCTATAACCACACCACTGCACTCTAGCCTGGGCAACAGAGTGAGACCCTGTCTCTTAAAAAATAAATCTTAGGGCCACCCAATGAGGAGATGGGAGGAAACCTCAATCTGTCTGGCCCAGGAATTTGGGGCTAGGGTTTTTAAGGCTTCTGAAGTGGGCCAAAGTGTGGAGACTGTTGATTTGTTGAAGAGTGCAGAAGGAAGCCACAGGACAGGGAGATGAAGGAACTATAGTCTCACGCTGACTCCACGGAGGTCTTCAGACTGGTTGACATCACCTTTTTTCCTGGAATTTGGAATCTGAAAAATATCTTAAGCAATTCTTTTTTTTTTAAGTTATTTTATTTTTATTTTTTAATCAATCTGTTTTTTTATGATGCACTTTCTGCTTTTGTCATATCTTAAGCAATTCTTAAATAAGAGCTTATGATTCTAGTGTCACAGATCCTAACTATAGGAACAATGGGGAGGCAAAAAGTCAGTTCTCAGTGACTTTCAATTACAAGGAAGTGAGTAAAAGTGCACAGCCTGATTAGTGCTTAATTTTAACTGAGTGTCTGTCCAGAATTCTTGTTAACCCTGTGAGGGAGGCTTAAATATATTCATTCTGATCCCCCCCCGCCCACCGACTTTTTTTTTTTTTTGAGATGGAGTCCCGCTCTGTTGCCCAGGGTGTGCAGTGGCATGATCTCGGCTAACTGCAACCTCTGCCTCCCGGGTTCAAGTGATTCTCCTTGAACCTCCCAAGTAGCTGAGACTACAGGCACCCGCCACCATGCTTGGCTAATTGTTTGTATTTTTAGTAGAGATGGGGTTTCACCGTGTTAGCCAGGATGGTCTCGATCTCCTGACCTCATGATCCACCCACCTCGGCCTCCCAAAATGCTGGGATTACAGGCGTGAGCGACTGCGCTGGGGCGATTCCCCCTTTTAAGAGATGGGGTCTTGCTTTGTCATCCAGACTGGAGTGCAGTGACACGATCTTGGCTCACTGCAGCCTTGACCTCCTGGCCTCAAGTGATCCTCCTGCCTCAGCCTCCCAAATCACTGGAATTACAGGCCACCGCACCGTGCCAAGTCATTTTTTAGTTTTACTGAACACAAAGAAATTACTGAAGTCGTGGGCCGGGCATGGTGGCTCCTGCCTGTAATCCCAGCACTTTGGGAGCCTGAGGTGGGAAGATCACTTGAGGTCAGGAGTTTGAGACCAGCCTGGCCAGCATGTCGAAACTCCGTCTCTACCAAAAATACAAAAAAATTTAGCCAGGCATGGTGGCTCCTGCCTGTAATCCCAGCTACTCAGGAAACTGAGGCAGGAGAATAGCTTGAACCCAGGAGGCGGAGGCTGCAGTGAGCCAAGATCACACCACCACTGCACTCCAGCCTGGGCGACAGAGCAAGACTCCACCTTGAAAACAAAAACCAAAACAAAACGAAAAAACCCAAAATCAGTGCAAGTAGTAGCAACTTCAAAAGTGAGTTAGAAGCTGGGCACGGTGGCTCCCACCTGTACTCCCAGCACTTTGGGAGGCTGAGGCGGGTGAATCGTTTGAGGCCAGGAGTTCAAGAACAGCCTGGCCAACATGGTGAAACCCCCCTCTCGACTAGAAATACAAAAATTAGCTGGGCATGGTGGTGTAGCAGGGTGAGCCGCAGACAAGAACCCCTCAGACACTGAATTGTAGAAGGAAAGGGCTTTATTCAGCAGGGAGCATCAGTGGACTCACGTCTCCAAAAATCAAGCTCCCTTTTAAGCAATTCCTGTCCCTTTTAAGGGTTTACAACTCTAAGGGGGTCCGATTGAGCAAGCAGGGGGTACATGACTGGGGGCTGCATGCACTGGTAATCAGAACAGAAAGGAACAGGACAGGGATTTTCACGATGCTTTTCCATACAATGTCTGAAATCTATAGATAACACAAGCAGTTAGGTCAGGGCTTGATTTTTAACTACCAGGCCCAGGGCGTGGTGCTGGGCTATCTGCCTGTGGATTCCATTTCTGCCTTTTAGTTTTTAACTTCTTTCTTTGGAGGTGGAAATTGGGCATAAAACAATATGAGGGGTGGTCTCCTCCCTTAGTGGCACATGCCTGTAATCCCAGCTACTCAGCAAACTGAGACAGGAGAATCGCTTGAACCGAGGAGGCGGAGGTTGCACTGAGCCAACATCGTGCCACCACTGCACTCCAGCCTAGGCGACAGAACCAGACTCTGTCTTAAAAAGAAAAGGCCGAGTGAGGTGGCTCATGCCTGTAATCCCAGCAATTTGGGAGGCCGAGGTGGGTGGATCACGAGGTCAGGAGTTCAAGACCAGCCTGGCCAAGAAAGTGAAACCCTGTCTCTACTAAAAATACAAAAACTAGCTGGGCGCGGTGGTGGGTGCCTGTAATCGCTACTGGGGAGGCTCAGGCAGGAGAATCTCTTGCACCCAGGGGGCGGAGGTTGCAGTGAGCCGAGATCGCACCACTGCACTCCAGCCTGGACGACAGAGGGAGACCCTGTCTCAAAAACATAAAATAAAATAATAAATTTTTTTTTTTTTTTTGAGACGCAGTCTCGCTCTGTCGCCCAGGGTGGAGTGCAGTGGCCGGATCTCAGCTCACTACAAGCTCCGCCTCCCGGGTTCACGCCATTCTCCTGCCTCAGCCTCCCGAGTAGCTGGGATTACAGGCGCCCGCCACCTCGCCCGGCTAGTTTTTTTTTTTTGTATTTTGTAGTAGAGACGGGGTTTCACCGTGTTAGCCAGGATGGTCTCGATCTCCTGACCTCGTGATCCGCCCCTCTCGGCCTCCCAAAGTGCTGGGATTACAGGCTTGAGCCACCGCGCCCGGCCAATAATAAAATTTTTAAAGTGAGTTAGGCAAAGCAAATATCCAGCGGACAAGGCCTCAAGGGGTAAGAGTCATGGACATAGCTTTAACTATCTTTGCCTGACGCCAAATACCTGAAAATTCAGATGTTCATGCAAGATAAAGGGGTAATTTTTCTCCTCCTCCCAGTGGTCACCCGCAGCATTCGGTTAAGCGGCTCTCCACCTCGCTCATTTCGGTCTAACCGGATTTACACAAATTCACTGTACACGTGCCTGGGGCGGGCAAACCCGGAAAGGACGCCAAGTTCCGCAGGAGAAAGGAGGAGCCAACTGCGCCGGAGGAGGAGTTTCTGCCGACACTTCCGGATTGGCCGCTACAGCCGGGGGTCCTCCGACGCTGTGCTCCCGGCAGCGGCGCTCTGCCAGGTGGGGCCGGAGCTGCGAGGAGGGGTCGGCGCCTCGCGGGCAGCTCCATTCCCGCCTCTGCAGTGGACTTGGCCGCAGAATCGGGGTCCCGGGCTCCTGGAACTTGTTCCGGTCAGGCCGCGGCAAGGAGGTCACTCCAGCCGGTGGAACCCGGGTCAGGGGCGGGTGACCGGACTCGGGCGGGGGAGGCGGGACGAAGGAGAGGATCGGGCCCAAGGGGGACGAGGAGGGTCTCAGAACCCCGATATCTCGGGACGGGCGTCTTGCCGCTCCGGGCCCAGCTGCCCCCCTCGACACATACTCGGTGCGCAGACAATGGGGGGTCCCTTGTCGCTCCTGGCGGAAACCCGAGCCCCACCCCCAATTCCACGCCTCCCACTACCCCCAGATCTCTCTGGACCGCATTCGTCCCCTTCTCGTCCTCATGGCGGACAAGAAACTGGTGGTGGTTTTCGGAGGCACAGGTGAGCGAAACCCCAGACTGGGGCCCCTGCAGAACCAGGGCGCCCAGCCCTGAAGACCGCCCATCCTGGGATCTGCAGGGAGGGGAAAGGTCACTGGGACCGACCCGGGTTGGGGCTGTGGTCGCAGGAACGAGGCCAGAATTGCTTTCCATTTTTTTTTTTTTAGACGGAGTTTTGCTCTGTCACCCAGGCTGGAGTGCTATGGCACGATCTTGGCTCACTGCAACCTCTGCCTCCCGGGTTCAAGCTATTCTCCTGTCTCAGCCTCCCAAGTAGCTGGGATTACGCGCATGCCACCATGCCCGGCTAATTTTTATATTTTTAGTGGAGTCCGGGTTTCAGGGTTTCATCGTATTGGTCAGGCTGGTCTCAAACTCCTGACCTCAGGTGATCGACCCGCCTCGGCCTCCGGAAGTGCTGGTATTACAGGCGTGAGCCACCACGTCCGACCTGCTTTCCAACTTAAAAAAAAAAAAGTTACTTAACTTACTTGAATAGGAGTACTTGAACATGATACCAAAATTAAATCTTCCTAGCCTCCTCTTCTACCTCATCTATCGCCGTTACCAAGTTTCTTGAATATCCTGCCAGAGTAGATAACACGTTATCATTTTTAAAAATGATAGCATATTATTTCACTCCTATTTTTTTATTTATACATATTTAATATCTATAACAGCTTTATTGAGATATAATTCGCATACTATACAATCCACCTGTTTAAAGTGTGCAACTCACTGGTTTCTAGTGTATTCACAGAACTGTACAACCATCACCACAATCAATTTTAGATTCCCATCACTGCAAAAAGAAACTCTGGCCCAGGTGCAGTGACTCAACCCTGTAATCCCGGCACTTTAGTTGGACCACGTGGGCAGATCGCTTGAGCTGAGGAGTTTGAGACCAGCCTAAGCAACATGGCAAAACCTCGTCTCTACAAAAAAATACAAAAATTAGCCGGGCATGGTGTCATGCACCTATAGCTACCTGGGAGGTTGAGGTGGGAGGATCACCGAAGTCCAGTAGGTCAAGGCTGCAATGACCTGATTGTGCCACTGCACTCCAGCCTGGGTGACAGAGTGAGACCTGATCTCAAAAAAAAAAAAAAAAAAAGAACTCCATGAACCAGCATGAAATAGTTACTCCGCCATTCTAGACTCCTTCCGCGCAGCCAACCCTTAGAAAGCTCAATCTAACTTTTGGTCATCTAATGGATTTATCTATTCGGACATTTCAATATGAAGCTAAAATCGATAATATGATGCCTTTTCGCTGTCTGTGTGCTTTCAATTAGCCAGTTTTTCAAGGTTTTCGTTCATGTTATAGTATGTGTCCGGGGCTTACTCTTTTTTTTGAGACAAGAGGTCCCCCTCTGTTGCCCAGGCCACAGTACAGTGGCGTGATCTCTGCTCACTGAACCCTCTGCCACCCGGGTTCAAGCAATCTCCTGTGTCACCCTCCTGAGTAACTGGGACTACTGGGCGTAAGCCACCATGCCTGCCTAATTTTTGTACTTTTCGTAGAGATGGGGTTTCGCCATGTGGGCCAGACTAGTCTCAAACTCCTGACCTCAGGTGATCTGCCTACCCTCAGCTTTCTAAAGTGCCTGGGATTAGAGGTGTGAGCCACCGCACCTGGCCAGCTTTACTCTTTTTTTTTTTTTTTTTGAGACAGAGTTTTCTCTCTTGTTGTTCCAGGCTGGAGTGCAATGCGACGATCCGTGCTCGCTGCAACCTCTGCCTGTCCGGTCAAGCAATTCTCCTGCCTCAGCCTCCCAAGTAGCTGGGATTACAGGCGTGTACCACCACACTCAGCTAATTTTTAGTAGTTTTTTAGTAGAGACGGGGTGAGCCATGGTTGGGGTCAGGCTGGTCTCGAACTCCTGACAGCTTTACTCATTTTTATAGCTAATATTCCACTGTATGGATAGACCACATTCTGTTTATCCATTCATCAATGGATGGATACTTGATTTATTTCCACTTTTTGGCTGTTATGAATAATGCTGCCATGAACATTGGTGTACACTTTTTTCTGAGTCAGGGTCTTGCTCTGTTGCCCAGGCTGGAGTGCAGTGGCTCAGTCATCACTCACTGCAGCTTTGACTTCCAAGCCTCAAGCAATCGTCCTGCCTCAATCTCCTGAGTAGCTGGAACTTTAGATGAGCGCTAACAGGCTAGCTGATTTTTTAATTTTTTGTAGAGACAGGGTCTCGCCCTGCTGCCCAGACTGGTCTCAAACTCCTGGCCTCAAGCAAAACTCACCCCCCTTACCCTCACAAAGTGCTTAGATTACAGTTATGAGCTACTGTGCCTGGTCTCAGTCCTTATTTTTGATGCATTTCCGTGTAAATTGCAGATATGTGTACACTGCCCTTCCATACTAAGGCATGCATGACATTAGCTAGAATTCAGTATTTGTTTACAGATTTTTTAAAATTATGAGGTATATATAATAATTTTTTTTTTTTTTTTTGAGACAGGGCCTTACTCTGTCACCCAGGCTGGCGTGCAGTGGTATGTGTGATCACGGCTCACTGCAGCCTCAACAACCTCCCAGGCTGAGGCTTTCCTCCAGCCTCAGCCTCCCTGGTAGCTGCGACTAGAGGCACATGCCACCATGCCCAGCTAATTTTTGTATTTTTTTGTAGAGATAGGGTTTCGCCTTGTTGCCGGTTTCACCACATTGCCCAGGCTGGTCTCAAACTCCTGGGCTCAAGAGATCTGCCTGACTCAGCCCCCCAAAGTATCAGGATTATGGGCATGAGCCACCGTGCCCAGCTGCAGTGCGCAAAATCTTAAGGGTACATCTGACAGATGCGCATGCCTGTGTGACTCAAGCTCCATCGAGATCGGAATAAGTTTTTGTATTCCTTTCTTTTAACTATTTTTCTTTGTCCCGTTTTTGAGCAGATCTTAATATGGTTGTGTATCTGAATATGGCTGTATATTCTACTTCAGGAAGAATTCAAATCCCATCAAGATCTGAATATGGTTTTTTTTGTTTTGTTTTGAGACAAAGTCTTACTCTGTCACCCAGGCTGGAGTGCAGTGGCCCAATCTCGGCTCACTGCAGCCTCTGCCACCCTGGTTCAAGCGATTCTCCTGCCTCAGCCTCCCAAGTAGCTGGGACTACAGGCACCTGCCACCATGCCTGGCTAAGTTTTTGTATTTTTAGTAGAGACGGGGTTTCACTGTGTTAACCAGAACAGTCTCGATCTCCAGACCTCGTGATCTTCCCGCCTCCGCCTCCCAAAGTGCTGGAATTACAGTTGTGAGCCACCGCGCCCGGCCTAATTTTTTTTATTTTTAGTAGAGACGGGGTTTCACCATCTTGGCTAGGCTGGTCTTGAACTCCTGACCTTGAGATCCACCCACCTCAGCCTCCCAAAGTGCTGGGATTACAGCCACTGAACCCAGCCTGAATATGGTTTTGTATTCTACTTTTTTTACTTTATTACATCATAAATATTTTTACCTTTATTTTTTTGAAACCAAGTTTCGCTCTTGTTGCCCAGGCTGGAGTGCAATGGCACGATCTTGGCTCACCGCAACCTCTGCGCTTCCCGGGTTCAAGCAATTCTCCTGCCTCAGTCTCTTGAGTAGCTGGGATTACAGGCATATGCACCACCATCGCCCCTGGCTTACATTGTATTTTAGTAGAGACATGTTTCTCCATGTTGTAGGCCGTTCTTCAACTCCCCGACCCTCAGTGATTCCACCCGCGCTGGGTCCTCAAAGTGCTGGGATTACAGGTGTACCACTGCGCCGAGCCCTTTTTTTTTTGAGAGGAGTCTCACTTTGTCCACCCGCGGTCCACCCAGGCCTGGAGTGGCAGTGGCCGTGATCTGGCTAACGCAGGCCTCCACCTCCTGGTTCAAGTGATTCTCCTGCGCCCTCAGCCCTCTTGAAAAGACGTCGACTCACATCGCCGCCCCGCCAACCACGCCCTGGCTAAGTTTTTGCTATTTTTAGCCAGAACGGTTTCCACCCGGTATACCAGGAGGCTCTTCGATCTCCTGACCTTGTCTATCCACCCGCCCTAGCCTCCCAAAGTGCTGTGATCTACAGGCTGACCCACCGTGCCGCGGTGGCCTTTTTTTTTTTTTTCTTTTTTGATACAGATTCTCACTCTGTCATCCAGGCTGCAGTGCCGTGGCGCAATCTCAGCTCACTGCAACCTCCGCCTCCTGGGTTCCAGCAATTCTCGTGCCTCAGCCTCCTGAGTAGCAGGGAGTATGGGCATGTGCCACCACACCCAGCTAATTTTTGTATTTTTTGATAGAGGCGGGGTTTCACCAAGCCAAGATCGTACCACTGCACTTCAGCCTGGGCGATAGAGTGAGACTTCATCTTAAAAAAATAAATAAAATAAAATAAAATAAAGTAAAAATAATTGAATGAGAATCATCGCTGAGAAGTTTCCCTGGATGTTCCTTGCTGTGGTGGAGCACTCCCTTCAGGGTTTCGCCCTTCAGTGGGACTTTCAGGCAGGTTTGACCTGGGAGGTGTTTTTGACTCTTTATAGGTGCCCAGGGTGGCTCCGTGGCCCGCACGCTCCTGGAAGATGGAACATTCAAGGTTCGAGTGGTGACCCGAAACCCTGGGAAGAAGGCAGCAAAGGAGCTGAGGCTGCAAGGTGCAGAAGTAGTGAAGGGAGACCAAGATGACCAGGTCAGCATGGAACTGGCCCTGAATGGGGCTTACGCCACCTTCATTGTGACCAATTACTGGGAGAGCTGCAGCCAGGAGAAGGAGGTCAAGCAGGTGAGGGCAAGCAGGAGCTGCAGGGAGGCTGGGCCAGGCTAGGAGCAGAGCGCCTGGGAGGAGCTCCAACTCTGCAGGGTGGGCTGACCACTGCAGGCCTTTCCCTCTCCTTCATGCCTCTGCCTGCTCTAGGCTGTGAAACAGGTGGACGCTGTTGCATCCAATGACTTTTTTTTTTTTTTTGAGACAGTCTCAGTCTCACTGAGCAACCACACCTGGTCTGTTTGTTTGTTTTTTAATGAAAAATGTTAGAAGTTGCTTTTCTAAAAAAAGAATTTACACTTTTATTTTAGATTCGGGGGTACATGCACAGGTTTGTTACATTGGTATATTGAGTGATGCTGGGGTCTGGGGTGTGACCGGACCTGTCACCCAGGTAGTGGGCACAGTACCCAGTAGGTAGGTTTTCAACCCTTGCCTCCCTCCCTCCCATGGTCCCCAGTGTCTGTTGTTGCCTTTATGTCCACGTGTACCCATCCAAACTTGTTATTAGCCTTGACCCTTTCTTCAATTATGGTCTTACCTAGAAACCCATTATATAGAACGTACAAAGACAACTTCTCTGATTAACACAGATCTTTTTTGTTTTTTTTTTTTTTCCGGGCCCTAGGCAGAATCTTATTCTTTTCTTTCTTTCTTTCTTTTTTGAGACTGAGTTTTCGCTTTTTTTTGCCCAGGCTGGGGAGTGGCAATTGGCCGCAAATCTTGGCTCACCGCCAATCAATCTCCGCTCCCGGGTCAGTGATTCTCCTGGCCTCCAGCCTTCGCGAGTAGCTGGAGATTACCAGGCATGTGCCACCTATGGCCTGGCTAATTTTTTGTATTTTTAGTAGGAGACGGGGTTTCTTCCATGTGGTCAGGCTGGTCTTA